GGTATCTGCTTTATATTCCTGGTGTCTCATCCTTCACGTCTGTTTCCTTGCATACCCCACCATTTACTTTGTGAACTTTTGTTCTGCGTGTACTCTACAGCAGATTCTTCAGAAAGTCCTAGAGAATAACAAAGTAATAAACAAGAGAGTTTTGCTTCCTGGAAGCTTAGTCCAATGGGAGAGAAAGGCATTAAACAAATAATCATGTGTGATTGCTTATCACTAATCACAAAGGTAATGCATGATATCTAAAATTAAAGAGGCCGGGTTTGCAAGTTAGACACTGTAGGCATGTCCCCCCTATTCTCCTGAAGATATTTCCTAATATACACAGAAACAGCTTTAAGAACTTACTTTCTTAGTTCAGGACTTCACACACTTTATGCTTCCTTCCAAATAAAGGTGCTTCACAAAAGCCCTTGTGATTTAGCCCCTGTGCACACCTCCTATATGGCGAGATGTATAGAGCCCTAAACTTGCTTTCTTGAATATTCCTCACTCTTTCACCTTTAGGTCTTTTTTTCCTTCTTTCATTTTTCTCTTCCTTCCTTCCTTCTTTCCTTCCTTCCCTTCCTCCCTCCTCCTCCTCCTTCTCCTCCTTTTTCTCCCCCCCCCCTCTCTCATCATCATGTTCATTGCTTTATTGTTACACTTAGTTTTGGTTGAGAAAATGTTGGAGGAGGGCGCTTGTAGGTTACCGGCCACTTAGACCCAAAATAATCACACAGAAGCTGTATTAATTAAATCACTACTTGGCCCATTAGCTCTGTCTTCTTATTGGCTAACTCTTACATATTAATTTAACCTATTTCTATTAATTTGTGTATCACCATGTGGCTGTGGCTTACTGGCTAAAGTTCTGTCTGGCTTTAGCAAGGCTACATGGCCTCTCTCTGACTCCTCCCTTCTTTCTCCCAGCATTTAGTTTAGTTTACCCTACCTACCTCTATTCTTTTGCCCTATCAGGCCAAGTCAGTTTTCTTTATTGATTAACCAATGGTATTCACAGCATACAAAGGGGAATCCCACATCAAGAAAAGCCAAGATGTGTCATATCTTTGTCAATCATCTGCTTAGTGTCTTCTTCTTTGGTGTAGGCTTTATTTATCTTTTATTCTTTTTCCTACCTTTCTACTTTCAATGTGGTGCCCAGAGGGTGGGAAATGCCTAGTCATTTAGGTGTTTATGTAAAGTTTTAGGAGGCCCAGGATATTAAAAAGAATCATGAACAAGGAAATATTTTCGTTAGTGTTTACATCTAGAGTCAGGTTTTGTTTTGTTGTCAAACAGTGACTAGGAGTTTTTTCCAAATTATTGTTGAAGTTGCAGGGGGTATGATTGATCACTGTTTTCCTAATAACATTTGTGTTTACTTCTGAGACTTTTCAATTTGGGGCAGCATTAGCAAGCTTCCTTTTCATCAGTGTATTCTTACTATGTTTTCCTTCCTCTCTTTCTCCCGATATCACCACTAAAAGTCTTCCTTTGTGTTTTCAGGACCAGCAAACAAGAAAGTAACACATGTTTTGGGATACAGTTGAGGTTGCTACATTCAAAAAAACATTCTTGACTGTCTAGAACCCTGATGGACTACTTTTAAATAATATTTTCCCTTAAGTGTTGCTTTTTACCTTAAAGATTTAATATTCTGGCTATTATCTGATTTCTGTTTATCCATGAACCATTTAGAGAGAGAGAGAGAGAGTTCACATGGAATCAGAAACATGTAGTCCAAATCACTTGAAGAATCACACACTAACAAAAAAATGTAGGAATTGTCTTCTACCAGGTGTGACTTCACACCCCCTTCTACTTGGTATGATTAAGCTCTGGAGCTCTGGAAGGAACTCCTAGCCTCTCTGGGATTCCATTCTGTATCATTCCATGAAGGAAACAATAGTGTGACCTTAGACCTTAGGGCTGTATATTTTGCCTTTTCACACAGCACCAAGGAGTATTTGGCACATGCTCAGATAGTTATTACAATTGTGTGGTTCTTTAAAGAGAACTTCGTAGGTAGAAAATGCCATGTTGCAAGTTAGAAAGTTGTGCATGCCTGGTAGAACCTTTCAAAGTGATTCCCTAGGACTGTGTCTGGAAGACTTGTTCAGGTTGTAAAATACAAGGCTCTCTGCTAGTCATTCTTAGTCACGATCTCAGACAGAGGGACCCATGTCCGCATGCTGTTGAGATGTCAAGGTCAGACTGGGCATACTGTCTTTTTATCCTAGCTATTTTGGAGGCAGAAGTAGGAAGGTCCTTTGAATTCAGGAATTCAAAGATAGCTTGGAGATCTTAGTCACCATCTCTATTGCTGTGATAAAAATATTCTGGTAGACATATCTTAACGGGGGGGGGGCTTGTTCTGGTTCATCATTCAAAATTGCAGTTCCTTGTGATGGGTAAGTCACAGAGATTGAAGCATCTGATCACATCAGATGCAGAGTCAAGAAGCAGAGAGCAGAAACTGTGCTCACACAGCCTACTTTCTGCTTCCTATAAGATCCAGGATTCCAGCCGAGGGAATGGTGCCACCCACAGTGAGTGGGTCTTCTAATATTAATTAACCTAATCAACATAATCTTCCACTGGCATGTGCAGAGGTCTGTTCCCCAGGCAAGGGAGGATAGTTCTGGAGTTAAGCATCAAGATTAATCATCACGCTCTGTGGCACAGTAAAGCTCCAGTCTCCTCAATGAGAAAGTATGAAGAAACTGATGAAGATCTGTAGATCATTTTGAGATGTAGATCACCTAGTGTTATAGCCTTGGCAATATGCTGTTTAGAGAGTTAGTTTCTTGATGTAATGTTAGTCATATTTTTCAGCTGAAAGACTGACAAACAAAGCACTTTTCAGGAGAACAGCATAGAATCTCAGACATGAGAGACATTCTAGCTTCTTGAACCTGAGGCGGAGTACCTGTTCACCAGCTGGTGCAGCCCCAGGATAGCGTTTACCTAATATGCCCTTCCAGCAACGCTGGCTGCCTCTAACCCTGACCATTCCATGGTGTTCTAAGCTGTTTTCTCCTCACTCACTTTACATTAGTTTAGTTTAAAATAACTTAGCTCATTCATTTTTATGACCAAAACATCTGGGAAAACCTAGGCATTTCTATTGCACTTTTAACAGGGTAAGTGAATTTAATTCGGATTTCCTGCAGCTGCTGTTCCCCTCCTACTGGGTTCCTGGGCATTCATTCCTTACCTACACAAATGGTTTCTTCACATGGATCTTAGGAGTAAAACTTCTTTCTATTTTAAGTCAGTTCAGCAGGAACCTGTAATTCTACAAGATATATAAGCACAAATGAGCAAGTTAAGACTGAGTCAAGGTGACCTTGAAAATTCAAGGCCAGGGGCTCCTGAAAAATGACCTCTAACAAAAGGTCTAAAATTTGATTTGCTCCTAGTTGTCCAGATCAAATGACTTATTCTTTAATAAAATGGCGTAAGTGGTGGTGGACACACACACACACACTACAGTGCTGACATTGAAGACACGGTTGCTTCTTTTCACTTGTAATGGTTTCCTGAGAAAGGTATGTCTAATAAAGCAGAGGTTAGACCCTGCCTGGTTATTATTTTGCTTATGGCCTTGGTTGCTGATGGTGCTGTTGCTAGGGCATTTCTCCACATACACGAGTGTAGTTCTCCATCTGTAACCTGTTACATGGTGTTCACACTGTATTTATGCATTTTAACATCATCACTTTAAACAGATGTTTAGCCAGACAACATATACCCATGATAAATGTGTATTCCTTGGTGGGGAGTTGAATGTACCATCATTACACAGTGCCTAGCCATGCTTGTGATATGTCTTTAAATTATTTTTAAGTTGTGAACTATCAAATTAGATTTTAGGAAGAATACAGACCAAGCTTAGAAACTAAAATAAATGCAAGGTCTGTGAACTTAATGGTATCATGTGAAGAGCACACCACAAGAAAACAGATGTATCCAGGACTGAGGTGCCATGTCCACCTGAAAGCCTAGACTTATAGTTTTCCATTGAGGCCAAACTGATATGCACAGTCATTCTTTCCTTTATTGGTCACTAGTGTAAAATAACCCATCTAAAAACTATGCATTCAAATGAAACTCACCTTTCTGTTGAGTCAGACACTCAGATATCCAAAATCTGGTTTCACCATTCACTGTCCGTGTGATCTGGAGCAATTAGATGAACTACAGTATGTCTTAGTTTACTCCAGAAAATGGTAAGATCAAACTATTTCTATTGTAGGATTATTTAACTTTTAATTTAAAAAAGATTAAATGACCAAATAGCGCCTTAACATTAGGTACTTTCATTCTCACTCCTTATGGAGCAAATTGAAATTTGTGGAGATTGATGCATCTGTCCGTCATTCATCTCACAGTGCAGTGCCGACAGTAAGACCCAGGGCGCTGATTTCCAGGTTGAGTGTGATTATTGTTCCAGCATAACTTCATGTCCTTTGCAGCAGACACTCACTCAGCTTCACTAAATAACACCCAGAGCTGCTGGGCACACAGTAGCTTCCTGTGGCTATGTGAGGCTGGAGGTCTAGAGCCAAGCCCGCTTGTCTCCATGACAGCCATTGGATGCTGAAGGAAGAGGAAAACACTGCCCTAAAGGACATAAAACCTAAGTGGAGCTCAAAAGCGAGCATGGGGCCTGCTGCTCCGCACGTGAGGGTCCCGGAAGGCTGGGTACCTCTGTTAGCACTAACACTAGCTTTCGGATATAAAAATAAAAAACGAGCATGGACGAATCCCTTGAAACCACTGGAAATGATACCCTCTAAAGCCCCTTCCAGCCATCTTCCTGTCACTTAGCTAGGAACAGAAATCTTGATGCTCACGATTTACAGCCTCAGTCCAATGCAGAACTGCTTAACATTGACTATAACTCAAGATTTCTCTCCATTTCACCAGTCATGGCGATGACTCCAGGTCCCAGCGGGGAGAAAGGTGTGGCGATCTACCTTCTCACAGGTCTCCTGTCTCTTTAGGACATGCACATCATCAGCACAGATGAGAACCAAGTGTTTGCAGCCGTCCAAGAATGGAACCAGAACGACACGTACAATCTCTACATCTCGGACACTCGCGGGATCTACTTCACTCTGGCGATGGAGAACATTAAGAGCAGTCGAGGTCTAATGGGAAACATCATTATTGAATTATATGAGGTATGGAGCCAAAATGACCCCTCTCGGGATTGACCTTTCTTTTTCATGTGCTTTAAATTTATAAGCGCAAGTATTGTGATCTTGGGTTTGACCCCAGCGCTTTCATTGGCAATTGCGTTGAGTTAAGAGATGTAACCTCCTTGTACCCCAGTTCCAAGGAAATAAAGGCAAAGTGCTCGCCTAGCGATGACGTCATTGTGAACCTAGTGGCATGGAGTGTGAAAGGGATTGACAGTTTCCGTAAAATCAGAGTTCTCATGTGTATGAACATGATGACAAGCCAGCATTGAAGGCACACAGCATGGATTAAGCCTTAAGTAGGCTTTCAAAACTCTACAGAAATAATTTATTTAAATGATGTTTATGAACATAGCTTAGAGGAAAAGAAGGAAAAATACTGGTAAGAGAGGAAATGCCACAATAAGCTATAATGAAAAATTTGTCTTGATGTGAGTTCATTGTGTGATTATATATATGTGTGTGTGTATTTATGTGTATATATATATGTGTGTATGTATCATGCATTATTATATATAAAATATATTATGTGTGTCAGCTAAAGGGCACTTTCCCAGGAATCCATGTGAGTACACACAGAAATCAGAGAAAAACTTAGGTATGGATCCCTAGAGACATGATGCTTCCTTATGTCTTTAAGGTCAGTGTCTAGCCTTTGACAACACTAGGGAGAGAAATGGTGAGGTGACCTGAATTATCCTAGGGATGGGATGGGCTCAGGCTTGCAGAGAGTGTGTCTTGTGTGCCAAGAACAAACAGTGACTGCTGGTTAAACCCATACTGGTTGTGATGAGTGAGCTCAGTCAGCTCCGGCTGGGCCCTTGGGTAACCTGGGTGAGCTTTTCTCTGGGGGATTTCCATGTCTACACAGCCCAGGCGGCTCTTTGGAGCAGGAGCAGAAGGTTCAGTCCATGGTTCTGTGGTCTCTCCTGGTCAGTTTTTGTCCAAGTTCTGGCATCTGTCCTTGGTTTCTGAGCTGTTTGTTCTTCACCTACTTTCTCCCAGGTCGCTATCCTTGCATCCCATTCCCAACTTCACATCTTATTTTTAAAGTTTCTTCATATTTCACCAAGTCAGGTTAGGACTGTCCACATCTGCACAAATGGCTCATGCCCAACTATCACGTGTCATATTCCCAAGGTAAGCTGAATCTCCTTCCTGTAGCAGCCACCATCTGTCAGCCGCAGTGTAGCCAGCGATGAGAGCTTCTGTGACCCTCTGTCATCCATGCTGGGACGTCCACTGCCTTTGTCTTATGCAAGTCTAAAATGATTCTCTTTAACAATGAAGTTATTTAAGGGAATGTCTATGTAGAAGACTGGTAGCAAAGTCTAAAGGGCATAGATAAATTTGGCAAACTTGCATTCCCTTACCTAATTAGGAGACAGAAATCTACCTTTGTTATTAGTAAGTAGTAAGTTATGTCTTGAGGTATGGTTTAGAAGAATATGCCCAGGAATCAGGCCGTTCCAGCTTCCTGTTTGTACAAGGAAGACTGTAAGGATAATTATTCATACCCCTGTGGTCTGACACAAAAAGAAAAGTATAGACAATGCTTCAGATGACCTCATAGTTAAGAAATATAAGTCCCATCTGGAAACCATAGTGTTCATTTCTAATCTCAACACTCACTTGAGATAAGAGGATCCCGAGTTCAAACTCAGGCTAGGCTACGTAGAGAAAACCTAAATAAATTGACAATAAGTAATAGATAGATAGATAGATAGATAGATAGATAGATAGATAGATAGGTGGATGGATAGAAAGAAAAAGAAAGAAAGATAGATGGATGGATAGATAGATAGATAGATAGATAGATAGATAGATAGATAGATAGATGGAAAGATAGATAGATAGATAGATAGATAGATAGATAGATAGATAGACAGACAGACAGACAGACAGACAGACAGACAGACAAAAGCAAAAAGGAAGAAATCACTGCACTTCTGTTGTGGTTCTTTATGTGATGGGTGAGTCTGCTAGTGCTGTTCATTCTCTAAGAAAAGGAGCTCATGTCTCCATGGTATTTTATCACCTTGAGATGCAGTTGGGCATGAATCAGCATGAAGGATATGCCCAGGTCTGTGTAATTTTTTCTTACTATTGAAGTTAGGCTTGCTTGCATTTCAGTATCACTTATCAGTAAAAAAGTATACTTTTATAGAGAAGAAAGTTAGACTAGGCATGGCAACAGCTTTAAAGAAAGCTCTCTGAATTTGCTTGCTCTCCACTCAATTTTATCACAGCTAATTGTATGATACATAGCTCATGATGGATCATGATGAGCTGTGCATGCCTGGTTCTTTTTCTTAGGGTGGCCCATTTTCCAATCAGTCCCACCAGTACCCTCTGGAGAAAGTAGTGGTGAACTTTGTTCCATCCCAAATGTTAGGAATGGTATGAACCAAGGGCTAGACAGACAGTTTACATTTTTGATAAAGTGTGTTAGCCATCCTAATTGTACAGAATAATGCTTGTCAGGGACATGGGTAAGAATTGGATAATTGATTAGGTTTCAGATTCTAGAAGGCATTTAATAATAAGTGAATAAATTGGAGCCTGACATTATCTAGACCATGACCATATTGAAGAGTTTTAATGGATGGTGCTGTTTTGCACCCAGAGATACATTCTGTGGTTTGCAGATAAAGCTCGATTTAATTGGTCTCTAGGGGTCATTAGGATTTAACCTTCTTCACTGGAGATTCTAATACACAGATAGTGAGAATGGGAGCCATATGGCCAGTTAGCAAAGAGAATATATTTCTTTTGGACTTCAAGTGCCCTTGAGTAATGCAGATGGGGAAAGCAGTAAATTTCATGTATAATCCAACTAAATATATACACTTGAACCAAGTGCGTGTTGTCCAGTGACAGAGGCCTCATGTGTAAGGACAATCTACTCGACAAATATAGGTGATCCTACCAAGGTAAAGACCACAGTCTTGGCACCAAGGTTCCTTGGAGATGGTAGGAGCCAACTCTACTGAATTTCCTCTCACCAGAAAAGGCTGACACAATGTTGAGGACTCATCTTGTGCGGTAATCTGCAGCTATGGAAGTTCTCTTGCTGAAATTATTCTCTCATTCGAACTTCAAAGTACAATATTTCCATTGCTATAGTTATGTAGAGGAGAAAATAGTGTTTGATGGTAAGATAAACATGGGTTTCTCCTGTGAGGTGCCAGCAGCCCACTCCTTTAACAAGGCTGCTGTTCACAATGAACCAGTTGAATGCAAGATTTTGAGAGTGATTGTACTTATATTTGAACAATTTTTTCTACTGTCTAGTATTGTAGATTTTTATACTCCTAGAAATGAACTACATTTCCATTTAGGTATTCTCCACTAATAAATGATAAAAAAATTCCCACAAATATCCATTCCAACACCACCAGTTGTGCTGAGAGTTCATGGTCTGATGAATATTTTTTGATGTTCCCCAGATATTAAGTATTCAACTTATGACTCCTTACAATGAAATAAAAGTAGCAGCTGTGTCTTTGACCAGCACCGTAACTATAATAAATGCATAACTGATAACCGGGCATGGTGACACCTTCAAATCCAGTCTTTGGGAGGGAGGCCTATACCAGTGAGTCTAAGGCAAGTCTGATCTACATAGAAAGCTCCAGGCCAGTCAGGGCGATATAATGAGACATGGTCTCCAAAGACATAACCCAGAAGCTATAAATAGACTTCAAAGTTATTATGATAAATTTTTTTAAATAAAAAATGAGCAGATGAAGTTAATTGTAGAAATGCATTCAATTTCAGTAAAAATGTATCCAAAATATTTGCTTTGCATATACTCAAGATAAAAAGTACTCATGAGAAATTTTATAATTTTTATACTGAGTCTGAAAACTCCAGGTTATATTTCATACTTACAACCCACCTCAAATTATGTACATTGTTTTACCAGAAGTAGTTGATATGTAATTATATTTCATAATTTGTATTATAGGTAAAGAAGAGTCACATACATATGGATAAACTGAGCCAATAGCCAAATTGATATCAATTCAAATTACCATTGATTAAAACTAAGGCGGCTCACGCCTTTAATCCTAGCACTCGGGAGGCAGAGGCAGGCGGATCTCTGTGAGTTCGAGACCAGCCTGGTCTACAGAGCTAGTGCCAGGACAGGCTCCAAAGCCACAAAGAAACCCTGTCTCGAAAAAAAAAAAGAAAAGAAAAAAAACCTAACTAAAATGCAAGCAGTCTCTTACTCTCACTAGCTAGCTAGCTACACTCCTAAGAACCATATTGAGTCAGTGGCTTCCATGGTGGGTCTTACAGACCAAAATCACAGGCACAGTGTTGTTTGTTTCCCTTTATAGTAGGCATTGTTCCCTAAGGTGACTATGAAATTACAGGGTGCCATAGAAATGAACGACTTAGCTCACATCACACAACTAGGATACCTTGATGCTACATTCAAAAGAATCCATGTTTGTCTGGCTAATATATCAGACTTTCCCTCTAAACTTTGTGCTTTTTATAGTTCTTAGAAAAGAGATATGATTTATGTGCAATAAAACATACGCTTTTTGGGATATGGTTCTGTGGGTTTTGATGGGTACATTTAGTTGTTTAACTAACTTCACCACCAAGATGTGGGAGAAATTCATTCCCAAGAGTTTTCTCTTCAATGCCCTATGATCATTGAAACATACTCAACACTTGTACCAACCTTTACCACTGAGAAACATCTACTTGGCTTCTAGGCTCGCTTGCCTTTTGTAGAATGACACTTGCTGGACTATAACATGTAAGCTTTGGAGTCACCTGGTGCACAGCACACACTGTGAAGTGCATCAGCGAATGTTCATGTTTATTGCCGAGTAGCATTCCATTCTGTGAGGGTGCTCCAGTTATTATTCATCAGTTGAAGAGCAATTAGGTTGCCTCCAGTTTTGTGTGATTGTGATTAACATCTATAAAGACCCACGTGAACATTACCTTTTAGTTTTCATGCATGAGTAAACACTTAAAGGTAGGATTGCCAAATTAAATATAAATATATGTTCATGAAAATCCATTCAAGTGTTTTTAAAGTGGCAGTTCATTGTGAGAGCCTGAGTGTTGTCATTGTTTCATACATTCTTCAATACTAGGTATTGTAAGGGGTGTGTGTGTGTGTGTGCACGCGCGCATGCACATGCATGTGCTCACATGCATTTAACCACTCTGATTACAACCTAGATGATGTATCATTGGAAAATCAATTTTTCACTTCTGTAGTAACTTCTGAACTCCATATACATGGATGGATAAACTGTAACACTTTGAGTGAGCCCCAGTGTCCCATTTTTCTACCTATTAATTGATATTTCTTGACTTTTCCTGTGTCTAGTGCCTCCCTCCATTCTATCAGCTGTTATAGCCTTCAGTGACCATTCCTGGTCCAGATGGACAGCTGCTTATAAACTCCACAGGGACTGTTTTCCTGCGCTGACCTTGGTCAGCCCCTTCTTGTAGCTCTGATACTAAGGACAGCCCACGGCAGATCATGCTAATTGCTTTTTCTCAGCAGATCCCTAGTTTCCTTGCCCTCAGTCCTAGGGACATGACCAGCAGATGACCGTACCACCTGGATACCATGATCTGCCAAGGTACCGGCAGTCACTGTCCCTCTGCACCTTAATCTGATTCCCAGAGGGAAAGTGAGCCTTGCCAACTTGATACTATTGCATTAACTTTTCCTGGGGTGATGAAACCAAATGTATTCACCCCAGATACAGCATCAAACATAAGAGTTCACTAAGCTCCAACTTGGAGAACTGGTATGTTTACAGCCCCGGTGACAGGTTAGTTCCAGGAGCAGGAGTGATCCCCTGAAACAGTTGCATCACCACAAAGATCCATTCCATCACAGCATCGTGGAGTCAGCCTTTCCCTTCTTATGCACCGCAGCATCTTCCAAGGTCACTTGCACGTATGGGAGGATGGGAAAGAATCATGCTGCTGTCTCAGCTGATTGTCTTGCGAGCCTTTTCTTCTCTTTCTACCAGGGTTTGTCTGTAGGCTGTTAACATTGCAATACACCTAGCTATTTTTATGTTGTTCTCAATTAGTTGCCATGGCTACCTAGCCTTGGTAATCTTTACTCTAAGATGGTGATCACATTATACACAAAGAATAAAGCTGTGCTACACCAGACACTTGTCCCCTTTTGTGGACACCATCCCATGCTTCTCAGTAGACTTCCAAGAACACCAGCAGCAGCCACACTAATGATTTCCTCCTGCAATGGGAGAAAAAAAAAACATTTAAAGCTAATTGGATGCTAAGTGGCTCCTCAGATAAAGAACAGAAGCATGTATCTCATTTCTTAATTCTGTTATACTCCATGCGGTGAGCCTAAGAAGTCCTGAGGGTCCCTTCGTGTCACAGAGTGTCCACACATATGTCTCCAAACAAGTAGATGTGGACATGATTATTCGGATGTATAATGAATATATATTAGAATTTGCGTTGCAACCAAACATTGAAAGTTATTGTCCTGAAAAAACACAGTGGCTAAGTGTCCTTCAAACTGATGTCCATTTCTTCATATAAGACACGATGCCGAGAATCATCCCCAAAATGATGTGCAGATTGTGAACCATTGCCACACAAATGGCATGGGCTGTGTGGTTTCAGGACAATAGGGAGATGGCCGTGGCATTGTGCCCAGCTGCAGGGAACACGTTCAGGACTACTTCAAGAGATTTCCATGGAAATATCTCTTTTGCTCTAACTTTTGGTCTCCATTCTCTTGGTTTTGACTGAGAGAATTTTCTGTGTGCGTCCTAGAAATTGCCAGTCCTGGTGATGGGTGGTGCTCTCATGGGAGAAATGGAATAAACATGTTCCCGTGTGTTTTCACATACCTGTTCACATGCAAAGATGTCACAGACACTTCACAAGAATAGGTGGTCCTGGACCCAGAGTCAGACCTGCTGATTTTCTTCTAGGAAGTAGGAGGCAGTAAGGTCCTGAGCATGAGTTGCCAGAGGGTAACTGATTTAAGACGGAGTTCCCTCACAGACTAGCAATGATGGTACCAGCTCTGTGACCAAAGAGAACACCAGAAAAGGCTTCCCTTAAAGGAGCCAGGTTTAATCAGTATGTTTTGCAGTGGACTTTAAAGAACAAGCTTCAAGTCTAGAGGCTAGAGAAGTGTTGTGCAGTCCTGAGGATAATACTTCAAATCCTAGTACAAAATAACAACACAGGCACCAAGAAATTATCTACAATCCAGGTTTCAAGGGGTCTGGTGCCCTTTTCGGGCTTGGTCACACATTCCACCTATAATCTATCACACACATACAAATAAATAAATGAAACAAGCCTTAAAAATATTCCCAGGCTGCCTGGGTGGGTATGAGATGCGAGTATTTCTGAAATGAGACAGGAAGAGTACCGCTAGGGACCCATACCACTTGCACATGGAGCCCAGCATCCTGTCACCATTTCTCTCCCCCACCTTCATCCTGCTCAAGGTTGCAGTCCAGTCATGGGTTCTGTCCATCACTGACTCATTGTGAACTTCCTCTGACGCTGCCCTTCCCTGATGATTGTAGAGTCCTCCGGACATTCCCTCTCCATTTGTTTGAGGTTTTTTTGTTTGTCTTATTTGAGTTGGCATTCTCCAAGGCCAGCCAGGTTACTACAAAAATGAACTAAAAAAAAAGCCCTTAGTTCATCAACGAAAGTATGTCATTTTGGAGAAGCGAAGAAAAGGGGGAAAAAAAATCCAACCCGCCTCTGTGAAACTTCTCCTTTCCTCCCGCTGGTGTTCCTTCAGAGCTGTAGTGAATTTCAATTAACTATGGTCCTTGGGGAATGCAGATAAGTGAAATTAGAACTTCGGCACATCAGTATTGTTGGGTGTGTTAGTTACTTTTCTTGTTGGTGTAACCAATACCTAGCAAATGTAATTTGAAGGAATGGCTATGTTGGCACAGAGTTCGCAGGTATAGTACTTCACAGTGGGCAAGTCAGAGCAGCAGAAGGATGAAGTGGCTGGTCACATGTGTCTCTTGTCTGGAAGAAGAAATAGATTATTAATGATAATCTAGCTTCCTCCTTTTTGTTTGTGTCCCCAGTCCATAGAATGGCACAGCCTTCTGTTCAGGATGGAACTTCCTTCCTCTCTTAAATCTTTTGGAAACACTCTCAAACGTATCCTCAGAGGTGTCTTTCCACAGGGATGCTAAATCCAGCCCAGTTGACAATCAAAATAATCCAGCAGTCCTGCCATTCAACAATGTGTGTGTGTGTGTATATACAGCTCTCAGTTGGATGCACATATGCAACACACAGGCACACCCCGCACACGAAACTATTTCGTTTTTAATACACACTATCTTATTTATCACACACATGCACAGCTTCTTTATGGTTTATCTTTGGAATATGCTGATAATTATAGGAATCTTTTCCCATTTACAGGACATTGTCATTTTAAGAATCTGTTCGCCTTTCCAGCATGTAGAGCAGCAGTTTAAGTGGAATTTGTACTTAGCCTAGGGTGGATGAAATTGATGAATCAACTCCAGCTACTTGTTTTACTGTTGTGCTCTTTATTCCTTCAAAATACCAAGGGCATGAAAGTCCCTGTACATTAGGAACTCTGGCAAGAGCCCTGCATTATCTCACTGGACGTTTGTCAGCCAACTAGGGAAGAGAAGAGAAACCACCAATTTTAAAGTCATCTGGAGATAATATGTGAATTACCCAAAGTCATAGAGTGAGCTAGAGGCAGGCACTGATATCAGCTCCCAGTGCTGGAGCATCTGCCGCTTAATGTCTGCACTATTTCTAAGAGGCAAAGAGGGCTGCCCCCAAAGGGTGCTCCCTTGGTGATGTCAAACACGTGGAATCATTTGCGCTAAACCAGCTGCCTCTGGAAGGGGTCAATCCTTTGGTCGTTATCAGGGGGGCTGCTGATAATTAATTAAAGATAATATTCTACAGAACAAAGAACAAAGACAGGCAAAGTGGGGGAAACCTGATGGGTAAGGGGTGTGTGTGTAGGAATTTGGTGTAGGGTGCAAAGGTGAACAGGGACCTTGGGGAATATGACATTCCTTACTGTGTTCCTTTTCTTCTTCTGTACCCCTCATACTCGGTGGAAGATTCTGGTGATTCTTTCAGGGTTTCTCCAAGGCTACCGTCATTTTTGCCCAACGTGGTTCTCCATCTCTCACCTTTTTCCTAGGTAGCAGGTATCAAGGGCATATTCCTGGCAAACAAGAAGGTGGATGACCAGGTGAAGACATACATCACTTACAACAAAGGCAGGGATTGGCGACTACTCCAAGCTCCAGATGTGGACCTGAGAGGAAGCCCGGTGCACTGCTTACTGGTCAGTTATGACGTCCCATGTGAAGTTCCCAGGGCAGGTTGCTTCCCTGGGAATAGTGCTTCAAGGTGTTTTTTTCAGTATTATATCTTAAGAACTTGATCTTGATGTAATGTTGGAAGAACAGACCACTACACCAACTGTATGGAACACTCTGTGGATTGCATGGTTTTCATTTAGAATAGGCAATGTCTTACAACTGATGTTAAAATGAAGAAGTGGAAAATGAGCCTGCACTTATTAGTAAATGGTCCCACACAGTACTCAGTAGGGTTAACCCATCTGTTAACTGCTAGTTTGTTCAGTGCTGAACTGATGTCAGAGTAAACGAAGATTACTCTGAAAACCCAGGATGCTCAGAAAGGACGGTCTACATAGGATGACCAGTTAACCTTTTAGCTTTTGAGGGTCCTTGCTATGCAGAATATTGAGGCAGGCAGTGTGGAGGAAATGGTGTTGTAAGATGATGTCTCTGCCCCCCAGGCACCTCAACTTAAAGTAGTGAGGAAAGATAATTAATAATAACACAGCCATCAGTTCCCTGATAGTAAATGCTTACCCTGGAAGCCTTTCTAAGATCTCAGATATGAGACTGTGTTTATCCTCAGCTAAAAGTTGTCTTCTGCCAAGTATGCAAAGAGATGCATCAGCCAGGTGCCTTCTAGACACTGTGTTAAAGTCTAGAGTTGTAGTCAAGTGTAGGTCAGGCAGAGCCACCACCGTTTTTTAATTTAAAGTCCAGTTCCACACTTTGGTGTATTTAGTGTTTGCTGTGGCTTTGGTTTTGATACAAGAGATGTCACACAAATGGCTGCCTACCCACTGGAATAGTTCACAGAAACATTGGTTGGTTTGTTCTCTATTTGCTACCACACCTTAGTAATGACTTCATCTTACTCTCTTCATCTAATTTTCTCTGTATCTATATGTGTCTTTCATCATAGTTCTTATCATTCTGTACACTCAGCTCTATATATTCCCACACCCCTTTTATACTGGGCATAGGAAAGGGTATGGAAAACAGTTCAGTGTCCAGTGAATTTTCGGTAATGTCTTAAATTATTTTAAGTATAATTATAAGCAGGATCAAAATATACAAATACACAGAATTAGACTACAGCTTAAGAAACTAGTTGAGGACCTGGACTACATCATGCAGCTTCCTCCTTTCATTCTCCCTGGTGGTCCCTTCGAGCTCTAATGAGCAGGAGTTGATGGTTACCAACAGATCGGGAGGGACATTTGTCATCTTTGTTAAAGAAAGAACTAGGGGCCTCTTAAAGCTATCCACGAATTAGACCTTGAAGGCTAAATTGACTGCAGAAAAGGGGAGTAGGCATTTGATACTGAATGAGAGCAAGAAAGGAAGAAACTGTGAGGGATACTTGGGACAACTTCTAAAGTGAGGTACTGGGTACATCAGACAGATGGGTATGAAGTTCAGGATCCAAACCATTGCTATTCCCAGATGATTCCTTCTGCAAGCCCCTCCTCTATTGCAGAGGTGTGGGTATGGCCAGACTTTCCTGGAATGAAATGATTTTCTTTTTTCTTTTAGCCCTTCTGTTCCTTACACCTGCATCTGCAGCTCTCTGAAAACCCATATTCCTCTGGAAGAATCTCTAGCAAGGACACAGCCCCCGGACTTGTGGTGGCCACAGGTAAGGGATGTTCCCTGGCTAAGGTTTGTAGCTTATGTGTGGGTCATGGGTTCTTCTGAGCATTAGATGGAAAGTCCCCAGAAAATGAGCAAGATTCCTCTGTCCTCAAAGCTCTTCATCAAAAACTAGGTTCCAAGGAGCCTTGACAGGCTTAGCTTCTAGGTTAATTCTTCCTGCCCCCAGTCCCAGAGCGGTCCTCTGAGGCTAGTGAAAGGCTAGCATTCCTGTCAGAGTCTGCTGACTGATCAGAGAGAGTGCAGCCGGGAATTCTCAGTCTGAGAAAGCTACAGTAAGAACTTCCCAGCTCTCCAAATAGCAGGTAGGGCAGTTTTCTCTTCCCACAGAAGATACTTTATGGAGGCTTTCACCCCAGAGCTGTTTTTAATCAGGAGGTCTCTGGCACGTGTGAAGGTTTGTTTACACGTGATTAGTGATTAAGCACTTGGCAGAGAGCCTGGGGGAAAGGGCTGAAAAACTTCAGGTTGCATTGTTGGAGCCACTGTCCACTGAACATCAATCAGAAGTGACGATAAAGCATCTCTCAGATGAAAACGGAGTCTCTGGGGGATGTGCCTTAATTAGCATGAGTTTGATTTGAATACACCTCTTCAGGAATGCTTTGTTGGCATAAAGCAAGACCGGCTTCTAATCTTAGAACTTACGGCTCTGCTGGCAGGTAGCTTTTTACCCCCTCTCTCTAATGAAAGCAGATAAATTCACTGTGACTTTCCGAGGATATAGTGTTCCTCCACCAATCCAACACTTGTATCTGGATCCCCTGTTCTTCTAGACATGGATTCTATCTCCAAAGCTCCAATCCAGTGAACTTTCAATCACTAACAGCCTTCAAGCACTTTAATCAGCCTGATGGCTGCTATAGCTTACTGCTATCACAGGCAGCTTCTCTTCAATAAGCGTGGACAAGATCCAGCATGACTAAGAAATGCTATTCTCTGCAGCAGCCCCGGACAGTGAGATGAATGTAGGTTCTTGCACTCTGTTCCTAGCTTGGAGAGTGATAGCGCCACCCATAGTCCACGTGAGGTTGTTTTTCAAGGTCAGGGACCTTTAACCTATCTGCCTCTCCTCAAAGTCTGCAGAAACCCAAATACTAAAGCAGATGCTATACAGGGAAAGAGTGGTCATTCAGTGCTTAGATGCTTCTGATAGCCCGGTATTGCTCAAACACTCTGAACTTTTGTGTTTTGATTGGCAAAGTGGGGACGATGATGCTAACAGAGCTGAATTGCAGCATTGCATGAAGGAATGAATTTCAAATGCTTCCAAACACTCAGGACATATTGGCTGCTCTGCTTAAGACACCTACCATCACCCTGTATCTTTGACATTAAAGCTGTTCTTGCATCAGAAGAAGGAAGTTTTTCTCCTCCAATAAGAGCCATAATTATATGCATACATTATGCATGCAGTGAAATCCAGGAATGCTGTCATCCAGCTCTCTAGGCTGAACTCTGGCACTTACTCGACTCGCATTTGGTTTAGTTTTTTAACTTCTGAGCTTCATGTCCTCATCTATAAAACAGAACTTGTTATCTTCCTTAGGAAGATACTTCAAGAATAGACAGAGAAGACCACGCTTATAAGACTAGGAAAAATACTCAGAGTAGATGAGATGGTGTTGATCACACACACTTCTAAGTTAGTCTACTGTTATGTCTTTAATGAGTTAGCAGACATTCAGAAATTAAATATTTACTTTTGAATATTTAGTCATGTTCCCATAATTTATCCATTACCTTCCCTTGCCCACAAACTCCCGAGGCTTCTTGCCAGCCATGGAGCATCAGGAGAGCTAAGATATAGATGTCAAGACCTTAAACTAGCATCCCAAGTTCTGCTTCCACATGCCCAGCTTACTTTGCTGGCCTGGTTTCTGTGGGAGATAATTTTCCCTCAGGAAAACAATTGGTAAGTAACTATTGTGTAAGATAGGAGGAGTGTCCTTTAGATATCTTCCTTATATTTATACCCCTATGCCTGCTATTTGCCTGAAGATAGATTTGGGCCCTGACTTCCACTCTCCCTGTTCACATCCTCTTTCCATAGTGATCTGAGAACCGGTTTCAAGCAAGCTGTATATGAATGCATGCCTTGAGATTCCTTTCTACGTCTTATTGAGGACATCTCTGGAGAATTTGGTAGTTATTTTCAGTAAGCAGAAGCATTAGAGTCCCAATATCTAGAGTATTGTCTCCCACTGCTAGTGAAGAATTTGCATCCTTATAGCTCAGACCACCTTACACTGTGAGTGTGTTCCTTGATTATACAGCAGTGGGAAAGAAGAGACAACGACAGTCCCCTTCAATATACACATTCTGAAACAGAGGACAAGAGGGAGGCAGCATCATTTCCAAGCCCACTCTCCTTCTCACTGTAGAATAGTGGTTAATCTTGTAGCGATCAAACACCAGTCTGCAAGCCCCTAACTGTGCCACCTCCATGGCACCTGTGCCCTGCTTCCTATAAACTCCAATTGTCCATACCTGGTGTTGCCCCAATTGTCTATTTAGCGCCCATCTGCTATCACTTGGAGAACCCATGTGCATTTCTAACCCATGGTGGTCCAAAATTTTCTCTCTCTTTATTTCACAAGTGTTAGAAGAGCAGAGGATGGTTGCAATGGCAGGAAACAGAGCAAAGAATTTTGAATAAAGCTCCCTCAAATATCAATAGAACCTTGTTTGTTTACAAAGTAACTGTCGGTAAGAAACCCTTATTTCCTGTCTCATGCCCCATTTCTGCTTCCTGGATGCCCCTCAGGCAACACAGCTGCCCTACCTTCCAGGATGCTCAGCAACCACTCTGCCTAACCTTCCTTCTACTTAGCCAAGGAAAACTTAGTCAGGTCGTCCTTCACTGACATTACCCACGTTCTTTCTGTTACAATTGCCTACCAAGCTGCTGAAAGACTGGGAGTGGGAGAAGAATGAGACATCTTGATAGAAGGGAACTTTATGGGGTTAGGGAGAAATCTGGTGCCAGGGAAACTTCCAGGAACCCACAAGGATGACCCCAGTTAAGACTCCTAGCAATAGTGGAGAGGGTGACTGAACTGGCCTTCTCCTGTGATCAGATTGCTGAGTATCCTAATTGTCATCATAGAACCTTCATCCAGTTACTGATGGAAGCAGATGCATAGATCTACAGCCAAGCCCTGGGCAGAGTTCTGGGAGTCCAGTTGAAGAGAGGGAGGAGAAATTATATGAGCAAAGAGCTTCAAAGTCCTGATGGGAAACCCATAGAGAAAGCTTGTGGGAGCTCATTGACTCTGGACCCACAACTAGGAAACAGTCAGGGAACTACACTAGGCCCTCTTCATCTGGGTGACAGTTGTGTAGCTTGGTCTTTTATGGGGTCCCTAGCAGTGGGAGCAGGACCTGTCCCTAATGCATAAGCTGGCTCTTGGGAACCTATTCCCTGTGGTGGGACACTTTGCCCAGCCTTGATGCAAGGGGAAGAACTTGGTCCTGCCTCAACTTGATATGCCAGACTTTGTTGACTCCCATGGGAGGCCTGTCCCTTTCTGAATGGAAACAGAGGAGAAATGGAGTTGGGGTGGGGATAGAAGGGAGGTGGGGGAAGAAACAGGAGGAGACAAGGGGAAACTGTGGTTGGTATGTAAAATAAATAGATAAATAATTTAGAAAAATAAAAAGACTGAAGAACACGGCCCAGCATAAGCTCATACTAGAAAAGCTCTACCCAGTTTCTTGATCTGGGAACCTAGTTTCTGGTCCCTGTGATTATCTGTGTATTTCTCGGGGTACCCTTAAGATGATGGAAGATCCTTCTGAGTACAGACTCTATGAAGTGGGCTTCTTACCACCACCAAACTGCCCAATCAGCAGGGTGAAGCTTTGGAAGAAAGGCTAGCAGTATTAGAGCCAATGTCTAATAAGGTTAAGAGGCAGTAGAGTAGATTCTGAGGGACCATGCTTGGGATGGCAAATATGTAGCCAGTTCTACCTTTCCCTCTCTCCTGTTTTCCTTAGTGGACATTACTAAATATCTAATGGATTACCACACTTGATTTTCTTGACAGCACAGATGGCTTCCCATTCCTTTTTACCACAGTTCTCCTGGTAGCAATCATAGGACTATGATCTTCTTGACCTTACTCGTTGTATTTTTCTTTTTGGCTGTTTTCCCTTAGTCCTGTGCCTGAAGAGATGAATTTCCAGACAGATATCTATAGTGTCTCTCGGAGCTCCTCCCCTCTCCTGTTCTGAGCCCTAGGCACTGGGGTTATTTTTGGAAGCCTATGTGTCAAAACAAGTTGGCTAGCTGTGTGCTCCTTGATGCTGATGGGAGCTTGACAAGCCGTAGCCAGCTTTAATTTCTCATTTTGAAGTATTAAATGTCAGGAGCTCAATTAACATTTTCATTATTGCATTTTTATTGTGCTCTTATTTAGGTTACAGATGTGTGGGAGCTAACATTCCCTCCTTGCTATGTTTAATGAAAAAAATCATCCAATATGATAAACTCTTACATGTGCAGGGTGCTTTCTTCATTTTTAACATGTCTCCAAGTGCACATTAACTTAAGAACATCATTCAGTTCTTTATTTACACAGCAGTAATTCCACAATTATAGAGTATTGTGTGGAGCAATGGTGTAGCATCTATGAGGAGACTATCCGTTAGTAAAGCTAGGGAAATAAAAACAAAAGAACGGTATCTTTCTGTTTTTTATATCTGTTTATTTTGTATATCTGTGTTTGCACTCAAGTCACAAGTGTGTGAGTGTGTGTGTGTGTGTGTGTGTGTGTGTGGTCAGAAAACAATTTGAGGAAGTTCCTTCTCCTTTCGTCAGTAGATCTTGGGGATCCAATTCAGTGTTTACGGCTTGGCAGTGAGTTATTTAATTAACCATTTGGATCATCTCTTCTGTCCCAACTATCTTCTTTTCTTATATAATTTTACTTCTTTTTGAAGGTTATAAACTTTATTATGCCAATTTTAAACATGTCTATGTCATATTTTGCTTACTTTTCCTCCCCATTACCCTCTCTCATCACCATCATCCCCTTCATGAAACCCTTCTTCCCAATGAGCCCCCTCATATTTAAACATCTTCCATATTGCTAGAGAATTTCATAACTATATAATATAGTTTAATCAAATCTATACTTTCCCCTTCCCATTCCTTCTTTATATCCCTGCCACTTTCCTCTCCCAACTTCCTCTACCTTCCTTCCCCTTTTTAACCCACTGCATTCCAGTACTTTCAAGGCAGTCTGTGAAGAGATAAGTCACACACACACACACACACACACACACACACACACACACACCACTTGCTTTCCTTAAGCTAATGTTATACTTGAGCAGGAGATCTCTGTTGCCGTCCTCTATCCTTATGCGCACTCTCCTGCTCTTGCCTTCTTCACTGCACTGCAGTCTGGAGCTATTGGACACAGCATGGGGAATGAGAGTGAGTGAGTTCATCAATATTCAGTCCCTGGGCCCAACAGCTAAAGATGCATTTGTGTCCTACTGTTTACTTACTTTTCTCATAATGAGTTTTCTTCCCCTGTTGGGTTTTTGTTTTTAGGTGACCTCAAGAAAGAGTGTATACAAAAAAAAAAAAAAAAAAAAAAAAAACTGTGAGCATCCTTTGGGGAACTTTTACTCCTCCTCCAACCATGAACACACTTAAAATGTAAACTGCCTGACGTTACAAACAATCTGCTTATGTTTCAGGTAACATTGGCTCAGAACTCTCCTATACAGACATTGGTGTGTTCATCTCCTCTGATGGGGGCAACACATGGAGACAGGTAAGTGTGACGATTCAGGGGAAAGGGGAGACATTCAGAGTAAACTCTGCTGACATCTTCCATTCCTGTTGATTCTTAGACTCCTTATGATTTTGTAGTCAAGAAATATTTGACTAGCTCTCCAGTACTGGGTCTAGCAGGCAGTCTATAGGGGTAATGGTGGGTGAGAAGATACCCGGGCCTGCAAGAGGAAACCCCATACTTGCTCTGAATGGTTATGGCATCTCTTCAGCAGTATATATGTAACAGGCTTTGGATGCTCAATGTTGTTCTGGTTCCTAGGAATACATTGATGAAGCTGTTTCTGTCATTAGGGTGCCAAGGAATCTTGGCAAGCAATCCTCCTTCATCAGCGTTCTCGATCTGCTTCTTTATCTAAAAGGGAAAAGATTAGAATGTTGAAACCAGAAGAGGCATGGAAGTCAATGATAATTTGAGAACTGTATAGACCCAGCCATCAGTAAACATGAGACAGCTTAATACATATATGTCTAAAAGAAAAATCGATTCAGTGTTGCAAGCAATAGTTCTTGGAGTGGTAATAGCAATGTCCCACACAGCCATTGTGTATTTGATGTATGCTGAGTTCAAGCTGAATTTTGTCTTACCGTGTGACTACTATATTAGTCAATGCATACATAGTTGATGTCCACAAGCTTTAAAGGGTTCAAAGCTTAAATGAAGAAAATAATTTCACATAAAATGAAATATAGTTTGGGTTGATTTTATTATTTTACTGGTCTTATCAAGGAAAAAAAGAAGAGTAAAGAGTTGGTTCTACTGGAAAAACTGGAAAGAATGAATAATTAGAGGTGATACCTTACTAAGTCTTAAAAAGAATAAGATTTCTACTGAGGAAGAAAAAGGAAAGGCTCTGAATGTCTTGATTCATGTGAATTCACCATTAGCTGTCTTGCTGGTAAAGTTCCAATTTGGATGACCAAATAAAGTCTGGCATCTTCACTACCAGTATTGCCATCTCTGTCCCTACCACCACCACTGGAACAGTTACCAGGCACTTAACAGATGCAACCGCTGTTTTAAGTACTACACAGGAGGGCAACAAAGACTATGACAAATCTTGCTCCAAAGGCTGTAATCGAGTGACTAGGGAACAGACATATGATTATGTGTCAACTTTCAAAATATAAGATAATTTATTGCAAGGGCCTAAAGAGGTCTGGAACTGGAGAACAAACTCATTCAGTTTAAAGAACAATCATTATCCAAGAACCTAAAGAAAAATGTCAGCTGGCCAGGAAACCAATGCTGCACCTTTACCATCCTGCTTTCCCCCACCCTGTTTCTCTAACTTCCCAAGCTTCTACTTTTCATGCCAATGCCTACCAGGGGAAAGTTGACAGCTGGCTGACAGTATCAAGGAGGAAGTTTGAATACCACTTTCTGCTCCTCCCTGGCTTCAGTCCTGCATCCCTGTTACACGGCTTATCCCAGACCAACACACTAACCGGAACTGCAGACTCTGCCTCTCCATCATGTTTGGAACATACATAAATTATAACCTTAAGTTCTTTGAGTGCTAAGAGTGGCCATTAGTAGGGCAGTTTTCTTTACTGAAAAGATAAATGTGAAGAATAAGAAATTAAAGTTTTAGGACTGAGAAGCTTACTTCTTCTCTGTGTTCATTTGAGCATATATGCAGGAGATCACGATATTTCTACTCATTCCCTTTTTCCATCTGCCAACCCCTGCTTACCCTCTCCTAGTAAATTCTCCAAGTCACTATCCTAACCTCTGCACTCGGTCACATGAGCCAACACCAGAGTTAAGTACTTGAAGAATTCTGAATATCTGTTTTTCTCATGAATTCTGAAATTGGGTATCTTTGTTGAATAAATACTATCCCTGCTTCAAGCTGGAACCATAGAACCATACACTTTGATATACATGGAACTAGATTGGAAAACATCTTTGTTGAGACTCTTGTATTTTGCTGGTGCTTAATACATATCTGTGACAGATGGAGATATGACTCATTGAATCAGTGGACCAGCAAATGGATAGCTTAATAAAATTTGGTTAAATTCATAGTCCAGGTACTGATTTGTCTTAAGGCTCAAGGAGACTATATTATAATGAATATTTATAAAAGGTAGTTGATGGGCACCAAAAGCTGGGTCTTCTTCCAACCTGTAGAAGATTCTAGGAAGTAGCGACTATGTCCAAATGTTCCATTGTTCTAGGGTCTGGAGAAGTTCTCTTTTGAGTCCTCGACAAATAAACGTTAAAACAGCAGAGAAACAGACATCGGAAAAGTAACTTATAAAGATGCAAAGATAGGAAAATCTTTTTGAAATCACACTCTTTTTTTGAGGGGAGGAAGGGTTAGCTAGTTGAGCATGCACCATACCGCCTCACCTTTATGTAGTATATTGATTTGCATGGCTCGTGGGAAAGGTCCTGAATATGCCATTTGAGTGGAATAGGGAGAGCTGTTTGTTCTCTGTGAGTCCAGTTTCTCCTCTAGTAAATTCAGATAATACTTGTCAACTGTCTGCAAGAGCCCCTGGAAATGCTAGAATCCAAACAATACCATGCATATGAAAGACTGCAAACTGTTAAGCACTGCAAATGTGAAGCATTGCTGTGATTGCTGTTATTGTTGTTGTTCCAGATCTTTGATGAAGAGTACAATGTCTGGTTCCTAGACTGGGGTGGCGCCCTCGTGGCCATGAAACACACACCTCTGCCAGTCAGGCACTTGTGGTAAGGACAGCTCCCTATCCTCTTAATGAACAGGTCTTCAGCGGAGAAGGTTGGGGCACGTTCTTCTGAGTGGTTTTGCATCCTCTTCTCCATTTCCTCACCCATTACTCACCAGCCCACTTTTTCAAAATCTTTATATCATCTATCTCATAGGCAGCAAAATATGCAGTCAGGTAAGACAGAAAAGAATAGAAGGATCCACAAGCCAGGCAGCCTTGACTTAGAATCCATATATGAGAGATGGAGAGATATTGCTCTGTAGGGATGGTTAGGTTCACGTTAGCAGATCCTGAGATCAGCTCTAAATAAGTTCAGTTTATGATTCTATGACTGTCCCATTATAGATGACCTATAGGTGTCATGGATATTCATTCAAAGATCAAGGGAGTAACCTGGGCTGATAATCCGTATTTTGCAGCTATAAGGAACTTGGGAGTAGTTAAAGACATGCTGTAGGCTTAATACCATAAGAGAGTTTGGACAATGAATGAAGATGACCAGGGACTCCATTAGAGTTGATGAAAGAGAAATAGCCAAGAAGGGAGAAACCCCTGAGAAAGATGAGATCAGATCTGTTATGGAGCAAAAGCACAAAGGGACTAAGTGTCTTAGGAGGTCATAATCAGAGCGCATTTAAAGTACAAGTGAAATAAGAACAGTTTGTAACATTTATAAATGAACAAACAAATGAATGATAAACAATGAGATGAAATGAAACAGTTTATATTGTTCATCTCAGCAAAGCAAATATGTAATGGAGCTCAGAGCATACAGGCTAGTTCCTCCATGAGGACAAGGATCAGAGTAAGAATATATCTTGAGGGATTTATGTCATGATGTAGGTTCTTGACAAAGGATAGATATTTCTTGTATGCAAGTACCTCGAAGAGAAAGAATTTCAGGCTTCATGTTCTATTAAATAGTTATTTGTGGCTGGGGCTAACTAAAGTACAGGTGAAAGCATTCACAGTGGCAAAAAGCTGGATCTCAGCTTTTCGCAGGCCCTTAATTACCAATAAGACCAACACTTGGAGTGAGAATTTTAGTGGAAGGCTTCTGGTTGTCATCTGAGAGAGAGTTGATATCCTGATGCCATGTCCTATCTTCAGCCACCTTGATAAAGAGTTTTCTCGGTTTGTCTATTTTAAAACTATAGAATTGTCACTTTTAGGTTGAAACATGCTAAAATGTTGTCAGTCTCTTAGAGCCTCATTAGCACAAGGTAAAATAGTTACATTTTCAAACATATTATTTTACAAGAAGGTTATGTAAATAATCTTTAAAGTCATAAGGAGTTTCTTTCAAGAAAATGGCTATACTAGCCTAAGGGAGAACTTGAGAAAATTCTCAATGGAATTATTTATTATCCATTTCCTATTAAATAATAGTCTGGATTTGTTGACAGAATGTTACATTTCAGGCCGTGTCCTAAATTGCTCCACCAAATTATTCAGCTCAATCCTAAATATGTGGATATTTTTAAAAGTTACCAATATACTGACTTTAAAACACAGCTATATCAAGTACCTTACTCAAAGCATTAGTGCACAGGAGTTAACTGGATGTGCCAATGGAGCTCCTGCATGTTGCCTGCTAATGCTTTAGGTACTGTGAGGAGCACAAAGAGGGTGGTTGTAACGTGGTTCCAGCCCTATGGCAGATGACAGTCAGTACAAGGATTTCAGATTAACCCAAAGCAGTGTGTGTTTAGAAGATGCCGACTGTGTGATGCTGAGCAGCGGTCTTCCTGCAGCAGGGGGCACGGAGATGGTGTTTAGAGAAAGGATGCTGTGAGTTCCAGGAAGAAGTGGTCTGAGGCATGCTAATGAGAGTAAAAACTCTGACCTGAGGCTAGAATTCAGCAATGTACAGAGGACTCAGAAATCTGTATTAGAGCTAAGGATGGGGACATGTAAAAGGAGACAGGATTGAAAAGAACCTAAATGTCACTTCAAGGTGCTATGGTTGAGCTGGCAGGTGGTCCCTTTCATTTTCAAGACCTATTTCAGTCTGTGGAAGGAAGAATTGCCTTTTAAGGAGGGAGTGAGACTGTACCAACAAAGAAGAAAGTAAGTCTTAAAACTCACTTATTTTTAACCAGATGACACATTGTTTCTTGGCTCTGTCATTAGGTTTAAGGAACCATCTCAATCTGAGTTGGTAAATTCCTCATAGACAAACAGGCTAGTTTATTCCTTTCCTTCAAGTCTCCGGAGGAGAAAGTAGCAAGTGTAGCCTGTACCTGACCATCTCACTCCTTTCTTTATCCTTGACTGTGGGATTAGGTCCCTGTGCTTCTTCTTACTGCTTTTGAGAGCTTCCTGCTGAGAACTTTCCTGCTGCTGAGACTAGGAAGAGTTTATTGTTTGCTTTCTCATGGAGGAAAATAAAACCAGCCTCTATGGGCTGCAAGGGGAGCATGGTACCAAGAGATCTGAGAGGATTTCAACTTGTTTGGTTGTTTTCCCTTAGAAGCCTGTTCTTTTCTAGAGACAGAAAAGCAGTGGGTATGGAGAGGTGGTGGGTGGTGGAGAAACTGGGGGGAGCTGAGGGTGGGTGGTAGGGAGAAACTGGGGGGAGCTGAGGGAGGGGAAGCTATAATCAGGATTTATCGTATGAGAAGAGAATCTGTTTTCAATTAAAAACAAAAACAAAACCAGAAATTTAGCCTTCCTTGCATTTGACTATGCAATCTGAGCTGTCAAGGGTTCAGTCTAGAGACAGACACACTTACTCTCAAAGGAGCAACTTGTCTTGGCAGTCTTGGAGGAAAATGCCCAAGTTAGAAAAAAAAATTGCTGAGAATCCACTTTAGGATCTGTAGTCAAGAACAACTATCATCACTCAAAATCTTCAATGAAAATTTGAGGTTATCAAGTTGAATGTAGCACTAATAGTAGCATTATACTTCAAGTGTAGAAAACCAAGTGTATTCACCATAAATAAATGGTAGAAGTCTACTGTGGAGGATATGCTAATAACCCTGAATTTGTCAATATCTAGTATGAAATAAATCAAGCACCATGCACATTCCATAAATACCACATGCCAAATTCATTTTTAAAAATAAAATATGTGAACATTTGTAGAGCCTACAAAATAATTATATTCTTACTGAATTTCTTCTTGTAAAATGATACTGTTTGTTTTCCTCTACTAACTTAAAAACATTAAATATTATTTTTAAACTAAGCATTGAAGATAGTATTGTCTTCATTTAAAGGATGTTGATAGGAATGTTTCCTGAACTTAGACAGGGATGAAGATTTCTGTTTACGCCTGTCCATCAATATAGTTCTCAGGAGAAAAGGAATAATTTGCACTTGCAAGTGGATAAATGTCAGCTATTGAATGTGTCTGAGAAATTACTACAGCAAATAATGAATTCATTCAGAAATTGTCCTTTGTGTGTTTTCTTGAAGGCTATGGGAGTGTTTTGTAATGACTTGACCATGTCATTATCATCAATGTTTTCTTATAAAACGGTTGACTAATTTTTGCCTCTTTCAAGCTTTTGAAACTCAAATACAGTTCCTTCTTTACTAGTAAATTATAATTAAGCTGCAAACTCCAAGGCTAAAAAAATGGCATATTTTAAGAAGAAGAAGAAAGATTAGGTAGTTGCTTGATTATCATTTTTTCTTATGGATCTCAGACTAACATTATTTTCCATACAGATGTATGTGTGCATACATGCACAAATGAAAAGCGTTAGCTTACACAACATTACCCAAGGGTATAGAGGTTTTCAGACTTAAGTAATAGCTACATTGCTTTGCAGAGAAAATGGGAGTCATAATTGAAAAACTGGGGAAACTATAGCAAGGCTAACAGGGCATGCTGTTTCCTACAAATGGAAAGGTTAGGTAGCTGGATGAGCATGAAGACAAACAGTATGGAGATTGACTCATCCATCTGTGACCATGTTGCTTTGGATGAAAGAGATCAGAGCCTAAGTGCTATTTTAGGTAAGCCCTCCATCAAGTATTGCTGCTGTGCTTTAGAAATACTAGAGGGAACTGAGCAACAGAGTCCCACTGAATGCAGTTTTCCAAAGAAAGCTCACAAGGGACAAGGTGTCTGAGTGACAGGTGGGCTGAGGTGCAATGATTTGCTGAGCCCTGACAGACTGTCCTGTTTCCCTTTGATGTTCTTGGAACGAAAAAGGGAAACATCACCTTTTCTGTGTTCTTTTGTTCATTTATACATGACTTGGATATCAGTGTCTTGTTTGTTCAGAGAAACATTTCCATGAGAACAATAGTTGTAACCTGTGCACACCTCTGAAAGGAGCATTGCACGTGTTGCTTGGAAGAACTTCCTGGTGGCTAGCACAGCACCTCCCGCATCTGCCGTGGAAGGCAAGGAAAGAACACTGATTCTCATCGACTATTCTGCTTCTAATGCTGAGCTGGTCTTGCAGGAAGAACTTTGGTTATTTTTGGAAAATTCTATTCTTCCTCTCATGTCAATACTATAAAGTCAGAGACACACAAACTGGGAAAGGACCCCGGAGGTCGTATAGTCTAGCATAATATCTGTTCTAGCAGATCATTTTGTGACACCTTAAGAGATGCAACATGCCAGGATAATAAAAAAAGTGGAAACCACTTAGTGAATACTCAATATAGAGTTCTTATCTTCTACAATGGCTTTAGTTGTTAGGAGAAAAATATTCTTAACGCTGAGCAACAATGAACTGACTTAGGGGTTTTGCACATTGAATTCAGGTACATGCAATTTTAGGATTGTATAATTGGAAGGACATCCAGCTATTTTTTTTATCTAGCCATTCTAGGTTTCCATGAATATCTAAATCTGCAACTCAAGAAAATATTTCCAGTTTGTTCATTTGCCCCACACATATTCATCAATTGCATGTTATATACATCCAGCAGAAGCACAGGAACAGGGACACACTGTGGAAAAGAGCAGTGTGCATGAGAGCTCACACTCTGAGTGTGACCATTAGATGCTTCTTTTCAGTAGCATCAGTGGGACAGAAAAGTGTGTCCCTATTTCTCTCTGCAGTTTTAAAAACTCATGCGTCCATGCAGCTAACTACATGCTCTCCAAATCCGTTCATGGACATTATCTTATGGTTTTTTTTGTTTTGTTTTGTAGTGAATAGTCAAGATATTCTTTCTAATATATGGAAACCTCCTTACTAAAAGAATAAGTTGAAATGAAATGATAATTAATTCAGTCTCTGTTCTTTTTTCTTTTCTTACCCGTGCTGTCTAAAATTTATGTAATCTGTTTCCAGGCCAGTTTGTCTTTCACCTTAAATCACACTAATTGGCAGGTCTTTAAAATAAAAGGAACTGGGATTGGAATTGAGCCTCGTGTTTAAGATACGGCAGAGGGATTGTTTCCTTCATCGTGTGTGCAGCCTAGAGGCACTTTTTAGGCTTTGTGGTTTGACCAGCTTTTGAAGTTTTACCATTCGGAGAACACTTAACTTGTGATTGACAAGGGATGCAGTCCCTTTTGTCTGAACTTATTAACTCACTGGTTAATCTTACCCTTTCTCCCAGTGCACCACTTTTTTTTTCTTTTCCACATCCTAACTACTTTTCTTAAATATTCTATTATTTCATTTTATATGTATGGATATTTTTCCTGCATATATGTCTACATTTCATATGTGTGCCTGGTGCCCAAGGAATCTAGAAAAGGCAGAAGTTCCATTGAAGCTGGAATTACAGATGGTTGTGAGCTCCCTTTGGGCACTAGGAATTGAAATGTCTTATGGAAGAGCAGCCAATGGTCTTAAGTACTGAGACATCTCTCCAGTCTCTAAATATTCAGACGAGGCGAGATCGGGCACGTTCAGTGTGTTATGGTCATAGACTAAATATTCTACTTTTAAATTGACCCACCTTGTAAATCACGCCCCTACTCAGAAAGCCAGATCCATTTATCCAAAGCTCTTCTTGACGATGACACAACATGGAAGACTCTAAAGTATCTAGATGTGGACCAGAACTGATAATGGCAAACTAAGTCCCTGTGTCTTCTGCCCGCTCCACTTCTCTTCTTTGATTGTTGAAATGCCATCAACAATATCAATATCTTCCATAACTTATTTATTATGTTTATTCATACTGTATATATCTCATCAACAAATGTATTGACGTCACCTCTGAAAATATCGAAAACCTTTGTTTTTTTTCTGTGTCTGTTCTCCATAGTAACCTTTAGTAACCATTTCTTATGCTGTCTTGCCATTCTTCTAATTCTGTCCACTTAGGGTTCTGACAATCTATTCACCACACAGATGTAAAATTTGTCTTTTAAAGTTTGGATCCCGTCATATCTTTCATATACCATCTGAAGACCAAGTCCTCTGTGACTGAATTCGGCTCTGTCTACCAACTCTACTTCTACTTTCCGTTCTGCTCTAACTATTGATCATCTTTCTGTCCAGAGTTCAGGTCCACTTCACAGTAGGTATTTCCTCTGTCATAGCCCTCCCCTCTGTGTCTGTGTGTCTTCTTCTTTATTGTCATTTCAGGTCTCCACGGATACCACTGCCTAGGGCTAGTGCTTTTAGTTACTAACAAATCACTCTGCATTATCAGGACTATTTTCTTTTCTTTTCTTTTTTTTTTTTAAAGATTTATTTATTATGTATACAACTTTCTGCTTCCATTTATACTCACACGCCAGAAGAGGGCGCCAGATCTCTTTACAGATGATTTGGAGCCACCATGTGGTTGCTGGGAATTGAACTCAGGACCTCTGGAAGAGCAGATAGTGCTCTTACCCACTGAGCCATCTCTCCAGCCCCCAGGACTCTTTTCTAACCCTTGTTTTTGTGTCGGTTTACTGGTACATTGTTTTACTACAAATTAACTACAATTTCCACTGGTGGTGGAGCCTTTCCTTTCCTCTCTTCTCTGGAGATACTGCTGAGGTGTTAAGACTGATAATTCAGTCTGGTGGTGGCCATTCCCTTACTCTCTTCTCTGGAGATACTGCTGTGCTGTTGTTATGACTGAGGACACAGTTAGCTCAGGCACGTGAGAAACATGAGCTATTTTATCCGGGAACTCATTTCGTTTTCTCTCTCTTTTCTGCATTGCCATTATTTAGAGGTCATTCAGAATTTTACTTTCTCCTTGAATATTGACAATCTTACTGGTTTCAATTTCACCTATAGACTTACTATAGGATTCCCCATTTCCTTGGCATGCAGACATTAATGAGCTTTTGATAGGAGGAAGCAAATGAGACGCCCTTAGGGCTGGCATTCAGAGCAGTTATCTCTGAGTATTTACAAAGTCCCAACCATCTCTGATTTGCAGTCCAGGCCCTACATTCTTATAGCAAAGATATTAAGATTTTTATTGTCTTTCCTAAAGTTTCTTTCAGGACTCAGATTTTGTTAGATCTGTTTCTGCCTGAAACACCCATGTGTTAGAAAACACTCTTCTCTGGAAATACCCACACGGCAGAATTGTGGCCTTCCAAGAATCCCCTCAGTCATAAATGAGTGTCGCTGGACTCCATTCTCACTGTGCCTCCGGAAACAGTGCTCTTGCTTCCATTCTGGCATCCTCACACCCCATGTACCTAGGCTGCCTGTCGTTTCTGGGCTTGTCTTTAGGTGTGTGCTGCTTCGCCATTCTTCCCTCTACCTGTGAGACATCCTCCCATGGAGATTACTCCCTACAGCAGGCCTCTAGTCTTCTATGGTTTCTCTCTCTACTAGCACTTAGCTTTGTCTGGAAGCTTCCATCTTGATTCTGAGAAGTATGATGTGACCTCATCATCTGCCTCATGGTGTCTTCCCTGTATGAAGTAAAAAATAGCTGCCCCTATGCCCTGCTGGTGGATACATGAAAAGAGGGCACCTCTCATCTCGAGATACCTGTGGCACTCACTGAAGCCTCTTCTGTATATGCTGCTAACTAATCTTTATCAGTGAGGAAATTTTTGGTGAAGCAAGGAGAGAGGGCTTGAGCTCATGTTGGCATTATTCTGTGGAAATAGCAACTGATTGATTTAGAGTCATATCAACAAACAGGCTTGAAAAGGAGAAATCATAAAGCCTAAGATATTTTTTCTTAACCCCCGGACATACCAGAGAGAGAGACAACTAGTTAGTGGCTATGGGAATTTCTAAAACTACCTTTATTATTGTAGGAAATTCTGAACTACAAAAGCAAGGAATCTGGACTCATGCTATTTTCACAGCGGTTCAGGTCTCCACACCTTCCTCTGCACTAACTTAGCTTTCAACTTAATCTTTAAAAAGGCTGAGTTAACTGAGCCCTTAAAGTTCAAGATAGAGGATGATAATTTAGGAATTCACAAAAGCTTCTTAACAGTGTGATCTCTTTTCTTTTATGATATACCATCAACCTAAACATTGTTGTCAGACTGACTGCCCTGGATAGGTTAGAACATTGTCCACAGCACTACTTTTAATCTGTGTATTTGGAAAAAAAATAAGATAGGAACACAGAGGGGAGTAACAGAAGAATAGAGCGATTAAAAAGTAAATACAGACGAGATGGAGTGACTTTCTGTTCATGGAGAAGGAGATTCCTAGAACCAGTGCATGGAAGTCAATTAAAATCATACTGCAGAAATTGAGTGGATGCGCTGAAAGAGGGCCTTTCACATCCCTTTCTTCCTCTATGCATCGGCCCGTCTAGCGCTTCCGTAGCCCTGATAAGTATCAGGGCGATGAAGATGAATGGAAGAGTCCTTGTCCTCAAAATGATCACAGTTCGTAAGAGTCAGAGACATTTTCTGAAATGATGTATAACAGAAAGAAAGAAGCATGTCACAAAGATTCATATGTGAGGTGTCAAGGGGTCATTCAAAGAATAAAATGGTCATGTTTGCTAACCTCTGAGAGGTTAAAATCCTGAATATAGGAGAAGGACCATATGTAGGAGGGGCTCAAAGTCTTAAATTATGTATGTAGAGAAGATTTAGAAACCTGACAGGACAAGAAAGATCCTTGAGGATGAAGAAGCCAAGGACACATCTTTGGGCTGTGTCCTCTGCTGAAATCGAGGTGTAGAGAGGTCCTTGATATTATCAAGAAGGAGAGGGAAGCAAGCACGTGGAATCGCTAGCAGCATCCTTTAAAGAGGTGCGTGCTCGGCATCCACAGAGGACCAGGCTTGTCTTTTATCCTTGGACAAACGATGGAACAGGGCATCTTCTCATAGTAGTTCAGACACACACTAGCCATGCCTACAAGCCTTTTAAGGTGACATTGGAAGGTGGAGTAGTCTCAACATCCATTCAGAGAAAATAGGAAATTGCTTTTCTTGAAGTTTGATTTGAAAGACACACATACACCCTTCCTATAGGGCACACCCACACTCCTCAATTTATCTGTGTCAGAAACTCCAAGGGCTGAATTGATTGTACTGTAAATTGAACCTTAGTATTTGAAATGCGACACCCTGTCTGCTGAGATCTTTTGTGCACACATACACATATGTGTGTGTGTGTGTGTGTGTGTGTATTTCCTCAAGTCTAATGTGCTGAAATATTTCTATAGGCTTGGATCCCTTCTGCCTGTTCTGGTAAAAGCAATTTTAATCAAATCTTATAATATAGGGAGATGTTGTTGATTAAGTATTGTTAATCCACATTGCCAGATAGGAAACTTTAATAACGTAAAATAAGATGGTCAAAGACTGCAACTTTATTTTCAACTGTGTCTTCTATGTATTTGTTTCTGCCTCAGGGTGAGTTTTGATGAGGGCCACTCCTGGAGCAGATACGGTTTCACGTTGCTGCCTCTCTTTGTGGATGGGGCATTGGTGGAGGCAGGAGTCGAGACCCACATCATGACGTGAGTACTTTTTACTGTGGCAGAGAAGAGACTAAAGACCTCAGTTCTCCTTCATCTGTGGGCTCAGGATTTCCCTGGGGGAATATAATAAGAAATCATTTCTTCTCAGGGCCAGAGTTCCCTCATCTATAAAATGGAAATTGTTTCTTTTTGCACTCAACAACCCACATAGCCACTGGTAGGTCACAGATGCTAATTGACCCAGGAAATTTCTAACAAAATTTAAAGACAAGGAAGCTTTCCCCATACCTCAAACTCAACAACATACAAAGTTAAGTCTGTGATGTATTTGAGAGATTTGGCATTCATATGTGAGTGTCTGCTCAGTGTCCATCTTGAACTCAGCCTAACACTCTGGTCAGAATTGAAAGACCAGATGCCAGCTGCTGTACAAAATGGCTACAGCTCAACCAACGTAGGAAGTAGAACACATCCATGGTTGATAGCTTTAAGTTGGACTTGTGTTACAATACAACTTTTCTGGAGACACAGGGAAAAAAAAAACATTGATAGTACCTACTGTGTGCCAGATAGTATACTAACGGACAATTCAGAAAAAAAAATCCTACTTTATCCTATTACTTAAACAAAATGAACAAATACTCTGCTTTGGAACCCAGAATACTGTGTTAGACATTCACATTTTTGTCAGGAGTTCCAGGAATGAATAAAATACTAAGGCCACTTCTATCCTTTACTTCAAACACTTGTTTGAAGATTTAGGTCCATGAGCTGACTTTCCCAAATTATTGCCTATCCTTCACTGACTCCATAGGCATAAAACAGAAAGCTTCTGTCTCTGTAGGACCTTCCCTAATGTGACTCAGTGCAAAGCTCAGTAATTTCTACAGGGCATAAGCACCTGGATTCAAGAGGCTGGTTAAGCTGCCTCTTAACTGCATTCAAGCCAGAGTTCATTGTTTTTCCAATTCAAGTCTGATGTGGCTCTAGAATTTTTACCAGTGGCCCCAAATTCAGCCATTCTTCATTTTTTCTTTTGTCAGGAGACTTGACTTTTTGCTTATCTTTAGCTCATAACCTAAGGTATTTTGTGTGCTCTTTATGAGACCTATTTGAACTCATTGCATGATTCTGTTGGGCATGGCTTTGAATGATACCATATGCAGAGGACTCTCACCATGACCTTGTATTCTCTGAACTAAAGCTGCACTTTAAATGTTGTGTCCACATAATCTTAAGTCTTAATACTTTGCCCCTTCATGTGGAGTTGAGCTTGTTACGTGGGTATGGAGACTGAACTCAGAACCAAAATTACTTCATGAATGACTGAGATAGTGTTTTGTTGTCTTTCCTTTCCATGAGTATTGCTGGGTTCTAACATGTTTCTTGGGGGAGGGGGATGAAAAGGCGTGATGTCAATGACTACAGAGACAGGGAGTCAGTAGACTCATTTATTTAACAATGAGGAAAAACTTATATACCCTCCCAGCACCCAGGCATTCTGGTCCATTGACAGCTGGCATTTCTTTCATGTTCCTCTCTCCTTGGCTAGGCATGATCAGGGCCTTTGACAGCACCTGTTGCTAGGCACTCAGGAAACACTTCTTGGTAGCTCCTTATTGGACAGGCAAAGACAGGACCTTTGACAACTCCAGGCAGACTCCACGTTGGCTCCTTTTGGCCTGGTAGGCCTTATAATATGAGGATGCTCAGGAGCTCAGCAGAACTTTGGTACCTAGTCTGTCTTGTTTATAAAGATGCCTCAAATATGTAGCATAATTATTTCATATAGGAGATGGGGAGTGAAAAGCACACTTGTCTAATGAAATTAAGAAGCATTGATCCAAAAAATGACCAATTTTTAGATCTTGTTTCAAATTTTGTAAAAATGTTTTGCTTATTATTTAAGAACTGCATACTTGAATATAGTGTGTTTTGGCCATAGCCACTTCTTGCTCCTCTCATCCAATTTTCCAAGATTGCCCTACACACGTCTCTCACAACTTCATGTCTTCTACTTTTTCCTCTTCGTTCTTTAAAATATAATTCACTGTGTCCACTTGGTACTGCCTGTATGTCTGTGGGTATAAGGCCATGCACTGCTGAACAGGAAACCTACCAGGAGCCATTTCTACCAGGAGACACACTACTGAAGAAAACTGACTCTCCCTCTACTAGCAGCTCGCCTACTGCCTTGTAGCCCTTTACCTAGTGGTGGGTCTGTGAGTCATGCTGGAATGTCAGCTGGGTTGATCTTGTGCTGGTCTTCATGTAGGGTACACAGCTGTTGAGAGTTCATGAGTACAATAGCCCTGACATATTTAGAAGACACCAATTCTCAATAGTCTTCCAACTCCTCTGGCTCTTAACAGTTTTTCTACTTCCCTCTTCTTTGATGTTCCCTGATAATTGTGTGTGTGTGTGTGTGTGTGTGTGAGAGAGAGAGAGAGAGAGAGAGAGAGAGAGAGAGAGAGAGAGAGAAAGAGAGAGAGAGAGAGAGAGAAGAGAGAGGAGAGAGAAGACGTCCCATTTGGGGATTACCATAGTCCCAAGTTCTCCTCACTTTGAACAGTTGTATTCTCTGCGCTAACCTCCATTCACTGCAAAAAGAAGGGTTATCTATAGGTATAAAATTAAATGTTTGCTACTATATCAACTTAGCAAATTCATAGTAGTAACTTCTTTGAGGTTTGCCTGTGACCTCTCCAGCTAAGAATTCTTGGCTAGGTTCAAAGAACTAGGCATGAGTTCCATTCTATTTTGTAGACTTTTAATATAATCAGAGAGATATTGGGTACAGCTAAGACATTTGGTACCACTATTGGACAAATGAGAATATCTTTACAGGCCATTAATTATTATAGTTTACAGTGTTCATAGCTGGATAAGAGTTTTCTACTTTGGAAGCCTGCATAACAGCTTCTGGCACTTTGAATTCTTACCATCAGAAACATCTTCCTTCATAGGAACTTAACTTATTCTCCCCGCCCCCTCCAGTGTGTGTGTGTGTGTGTGTGTGTGTGTGTGTGTGTGTGTGTGTTGTGAAGCTCTCACATCCTTATGCTCACCCCCTGACTTAGGAGCCAAAGTGTCCCCTGATGACTAGTGGGATGGTTACTGGGAGGCTCTGTCTGCTTCCAATTCAGATTTGAAAAAAACTTTATACCCAACTGGTTTACTAAAACTAACTGGTATTTTAATGACACATAATGAAAATAGAATTGAAAATTACATATTCTTTTGGAATTGTGAGAATAAGGAGTAGATTTGGGGACAAGGGTTCTTCTTCTAGCCATTGACCCTTACTAATGAAACAGGACACTTGAATTCTGTGAACTCACTGTTAACCTCATTAAAGTGTAATGGTGGCCATGGATAAGAAGGCTACAGTGTGATACTATTGACTTTCCATTTTGATTTGCAGAATTTATCTGTTTAATACTTTATTCATTTAAAAACACTTCATGAATGCAATACAGATTCTGTTGGATCTTCGAAGATAAAAAGGTGAATGCAATCCTTTCGTTTTAAGGGAATTTCAGGATGCAAGTGTAGGTACACTAGTCGTCAGGGCAGAGGCTCCTAGATCAGGACTGGCTTGATTTCCCCAATACCTGTAACTGAAATGAAGCAAGTAAATATGCAGACATAGAAAACATCCCGACTGAGGTAAACTAGATCCAGAAAGCAAACAGCACATATGTTATCTATTGCATGTGGATTTAGCTTTGGAGGTTAAGATTTGTGTGTAGAACTTGGAGTACCCCTAGAAGTTAGAAAAGTAGAAAGATATCATTGGAGGAGGGGAGGAGGAGGAAGAGCTAAAGCAGGGAGGAGACAGAGAATGCTAGTGTAAAGTGGGGAAGAGGAGTAATTTAAGGGGAAGATTTAAGTGGTAAGAGAGATGGGAGGGTAAACCAGATGGTGTGGGATAAACAATAGTTTATTTGAAAAGGCCACATGAAGTTCTACTGTTTTATAAGCTTTCTAAAAACTAATTTCATACTTAAATCTTTGTTTTAGGTAATGATAAATGCTCTTCTTAGAAGCCATGGTTTATATAAAAAAATAGCCTAGTACCTGCCATGGTTCACCTCTCTGTGAGTTGTTCATGAGGGAATCCAAGAGACTACAAAAATAATACCCCCAGGAATTCTGTCATGCAAAGATTAGGATCTAGCAGTTGGCAATTATGTGCCTGGAGCTTGGGTTGGAATCTAACTAGGTAATCTACTCTCTGAGCAGGGTTGTGTGTGTGGGAACAGCAAAGTGCCAACAGCAGGGCAGCTGGTGAATGAGGACCCTATGGCGAATGGTTTCTGTTTCTCTCCTGGGAGAAACTGCCCAGTTCTTCGCTGTATATCTGCTGGAGAATATGCATGGGGGAGACAAGACAATGCCCAGCATAGAGATCTGTGATTTCTTGCTTTTATTGTACATTTCTTTCTATTGCCATTTCAAATGTTATTATTGCAACATCTCCCTGGTAACCTTGACAGCAGCCATCTAGTCTAGCCTAATTCACAATGAAATGTGACCATTCTTATTACTTAAGGCTGAGGAGACATGGGATGATTGACATGCCCGTGTGCCTGCTGCCGTCTCAGGTGGAAGTTCTTGAGATGATGACGTGCCTGTGGATGCTAGAACGCTTGGCCTCCTTGGTCCTCTACTGTTATGAAAGGTTGTTTGCCTTCTAAAATAACAAACACCTTAAGGGGAACTCTTTTTCTCTTGGCTCAGCTGAAGAATCAGATGGAAAATCTTTCCCACATCCTCAGTACTGCATTTTAGTTTCCTTACTAACATGAAAATTTTGGACCAATGGACTGTGATTTAGCTATCCTTTTACAGGGACTGCAGAGAACTAGGGAGTCTCTCTGGAAAAAAAAAACATCTAGGGCAAGAACAGTAGAATTTCTCCTGAAAAATCCCAGTTACTTCTAGGAGTAGACAGCAAAGTACCTGGAGAGACTGTAGCCTAATTTTTAAAAATCCAGCCATGGTTTACAGCCAGTTTGCATACACCCTTCCTTTTC